GGGCAAAGCAGCGGCCCACCTTCTCCAGTTATGAGCGTGGCATAACCGTCTGTGGCCTTCAGCTTGTCAACGGCCGCGCAATGGGTTCCTGGCCCAAGCAAATGGAATTTGTCCCAGCCACACCCTGCAGCCAAGTGAGGATTTTGCTCCAGCACACTTCTGAGACACTCAACCATGGGGTCCACAGCCGGGCTTTTCCCACTGCCTGGACGGGCCGTGCCAATGACCCAGTATCGACTGCGGCACGGGTACCCAGCCACGTCAACAGAGATGTCCTTGTGGAGCAAGCCCATCAGAAGTGAACAGAAAACATCGTAGTAAAACACTGTAGGCATGCCGGTGCTCCGGCTCCATGCCTCTGTAAGAACAAGCAGTGGGTAGAACGCTGTCCGCCACAAAGGGTATTGCAGCTCCACTGCTTGCCTGCCGCCCAGCTCATCACTTTCAAAACCACAAATGAGCGGACGCAATTGGGCCTGCACTTCCGCCAGGGAAGTTCCCACAATCTCTGCCTGCGCACGGTGTAGCACATCCACCAACTTTATTCTGATGAATGCGACACCTACACATCCCACTGTCTCTCAACTGCCCCAACCTTTTTGGATCTAAAATTATTAACCACAGTGGACTGAGCTCCCGACACTGTAGTGCGGCAACCCGGCGAGGAAAGCCTCCACATCCTCACCGGTTTCGAAGCGCCGCAAGCACGCTGCCACATCCATTTCAAACTGCAAAGTGCCATCCACGCCATCGGCGAACGGCAACAGCTGCACGCGTCCTTCACGGGCGAAGGACGGCGAAGCTTTCACAGGGAGCTCTTCCTCCCGCACCTTTGGCGCTGCAGCTTTCAAGGGCGCAGCAGGCTCTGCATCTTTTTGTTCTGGCAAGTGTCCAGCCTGCTCCACTCCAATCTTAGCAGTACCATGCCCTCGCGCAGCCGCGCAGGTTTTCTCGTACAGTGCCAGCACGACACCCTTCTCCACACTGTCTGGGAGGCTTCTGCACAGCGTCACCACAGCATCATCGCACCGCAACCAGCGCTCTCTTTCCTTGCACCAAGCAACAAAATGCCCCCGATCCACGTTACCTTTCCTTCCTCTCTTCTCCCTTTTGTTTTCCGTGCTCGGAAGGTGTTCAACTAAAGCCACAAAGTCATACGATGACCCGTGGACCTCCACGGATCCAAGGCACTCAATGGGGTGCTCATTGCGCTGCTGGCGCATTGTGACGCAGTCCACAGAACTGTTGCGGGGAAATTGCACCACTAGCAATTCGGGGCTAGACACTGGCGCGGAGCACTGCAAGACTTCCTTCCGGGCCCCACAAGCCTCACATCGCAACCCTTCAGCCAACCACTCATTGGCAAAGGTTTTTGCGATGAGATCGTTGGCGGTTGCGCGCTCAAACTGCTCATTGTCTGCAAGGATCAAATTCCATGCTTCTTTCTGGCCAGTCTTTGCCACGATGTCGTGCAGGGTACACGTTTCAACGCAGCACCTGTGCTCCTGCTGCCGCTTCACCTCCACTGCAAACAAGCCAGGCCTGATGCCTTCCACCTGCAACCAGGGCGGAGCTGCGGCCCCACCTTCACCCCACGGGAAACCTCTATTGTTCTAATCAAACTACTTGCAAATCCTCGTATTTTGCCTTTCCCCCATGCCCCGCCAGGCCTCCGTGCACAGAGCCAAGGCAAACTCTCCTGCACTTTCTTGCGCTCCACCAGCGAAGCCCATTGTTTGCAGAAGTGGCTGCCACATGCGCATGACTTCGGCATCCGCTTGATGAAACTCCCGGGCGGCATTTGTTTGCCACAGCAAGCAAGCAACACATGATCCTTGGCAACGCTTCTGGGCAACATGCGCGCGCAACCACGCACATAAATGCTTCGAGTGGAAAAGCATCTGGAGGACACTGTTGACGAAGCAAGTATTGCCAATGTTTGTCAATCCCACGCCGTAAACTCGGCCCACTTTCGGCTGCTTTCGGCGGCCTGCCGTTGATCTTCTACTGCTTCCTTTCTTCTTGACGGTCGCTTTCACCCGGCACCTCGACCGCGGTCCTGCACTGCCTCGCCGCCCTTGGGCACTATACCAGATACGAGTCCACCCTATGCACCCCCACTTCTTGCGGAACACCACCGGCTCTAACAACTCTTGCACGTTGGTGAGCCACAAGGCAAACGTGTTTTTGTATGGAAGTGTCTCCGTCTCTAACTTGTGCTCACCACGCAATGCCACGAACTCTGCCAAGTCGATTGGTTGACTCTTCACAATGGTGGCCTTGCCATACACTCGGTTGCCTTGCACTAACCACACGTGCCCAAGCTTGGCTGCCTGCCCTCGCAACTCGACGCATTTCTCACCATTCAAAATCCGAAGCAGCCACTCCTTCTTCAACACCAATCCACGCTCACCTTCGGCCGGCTTGCCCTGCATCCGTCCTACTGCCGGTGCGGCACCTCCGCTCCCACCCACCACATGGCAGTTTCTGAGACCGCATTTTTGGTGGTCTTCGTGTCCGACTGAGACGAGGGTTGCCCACCGCCAGCTGCACCTACCGAGGCACCAAGCAAAGGTGACAAGGCAGAAGGATCCACGGAGAGACCATAAGACAAGAGTAGCGCGAAGAAAGCCGACCCCGCACGGCAGCATGCACATTGCCACCATGAGCCAGAGGATGTCAGGCACGCCTTTCGGTTGCTGCCGCATCTTCCTCTGGCAACACCAGCGGCCACGGACTTTCACTACCTTCTTGCTCCAGCTGCTTCCATTCGAAGGCAATGATGGCAAAGCACCAAGCAGAACCCCAGCCAAGAAGCCCATCAGGCAGTATGCGGAGACCAACGCCATGCTGGCTTTCGTCTACAGGCAATATATATATATATATATATGATGGTACTTGGGTCCAAGTTGGTGGTATTTGGTTCCAAGATTCGACTTGATTGAACTAGCTTTGTTAAAGGCTTTCAGTCTTGAAAGTTGTCACATTCTTCAAGAGATACACAAGCCACCGCCTGCATTATACTTGTGGTTGACAGGTACTTTGCAATCGCGTTGCCGATAGGAGGCCGCCCCATGAAAGTGCAAGTGGCCGCAATTGTGGTTTCCTTTTTCAGCTATCACTTCAACAAAAACGACACTCCGCGGCACGTCGCCAGAACATGTGCCTCTTGTTTCACACAGGCCATGTGAACATGTGTCCCACGTGCCTGCATACAGGGCATGCTCCTCCAACGTCTTGCCACCGCACCTCAGCGACACTGGTCTTACAGCCCGAACCAAAACCTTTATGCAGCTGATTCTCGGTGTGCTGATTTGATTACCTTCCGACCTTCCCGTTACACTCTCTTCATGACTAAAGTTACCCGGGCTCCCCTCTTACTTCGAGGTAGTTCGCGCAGAGAAGACGGGTAGGGGGGGACGTCCTTTTACTTGGCGCCATGAGTCTGCTCCTTGCGGCAACGTGTTTTCAAGGCGCGCGCGTGCGCGCCTGCTTCTGCTTCTTGCGGCAACATGTTTTCGCGGTGCGCGGCCGCTGCAGAGCCGAGCGGCAGACAGCATGACACACCGGGGTCCGCTACTTGAGCCATGCTTCTTGAGTCACCTGCCGCTATGGAGCCGAGCCGTGCAACAGCGTGACGCCCCCACGTCATCACGGCAAGTGGGCTGGCGCAGCGTGCTGGGTGGGCTCTGTGTAAGTGGTCCGAGGGCATAGGCACTCGCAGGCAAGGGTCAGGGGTTAAAAAAGCAAGGTCAGGGGTTAAAAAAAAAAGGTTGGGGGTTAGAAAAAAGCGCTCGGGGGTCAGAAAAAGGGGTCGGGGGGTTAAAAAAAAGAGGTCGGGGGGGGGTAAAAAGAAAAGGTCTGCAGGGTTAAAAACCATTGTTTTGAAGGGTGTTTAAAAAAAAGGGTCGGGGGGTTAAAAAAAAGTGGTAGGTTAAAAAAAAGAGGTTGGGGGGTTAAAAAAAGGGGAGCCCAATACTGACCGAACGGTGCGGTCAGACTCGCCAGACATCGTACGAAACAGCAGACATCGTGTGCGGCTGACTAGAGTCGTGATCCATAAACCCCCCACAAGAAGAGGATGTCCAATTCCAATGGGGGAGGTCATTAATCAAGAGTCTACATTACTGAAAAGATGTTTATTGAATCTCCAAAATTCCAGCGGCCTTGGACGAAATTGCTGGCCCGGCCCAATTAAAGTGGGGCCCCATTGGGGAAATGAACTTCATACCAACAAAAAACAGACATTGTTTGGTTTGCCTTGCAGTGCCCCACATCTGTCAATAAGCGCAGTGTTTACACAGAATCAGACCATGAAGACTCTTCGTTCAAATCCCAAGTGGTTGTTCATATGAAGTTCCGATGCCAAGAGCATTGAAGTAAGGGGATACGACAGGCACACATGGATGTTGAGTCAACGACGTCAACAATGACCATGAGATACCATGAGGACAGTCCTCAGTCCGGGGGTCGTCATGGCGGTTGAGCCGGGGGATGTGAATTGCGAGAGAAGTCTGCAGAATCGATGAAAGGACGTAGCCGCTGCCCGAAATGCTCCGTTCGTAGCGTCCTTGTTACGCCCGTAGTATGGCCAGGGTCGCCCCGTTCGTAAGTAGCGTCCGATCGCTCCGTTCGGTTCGCGAATGCCGGAGCGGAGTCTGCAACCTTTGGTCCACCAATCCGAGGCAATCCTTTCCCCAAGGTCTGCGCTTGGTCAACGGAAACATGGGGAAAGCGTCCAGCATCGTCCAGCAAAGGGGCAACCCATCAATCCCCCCCCCGTCAATCACCACGTAGCTCTGCTCATCTGCCACACGCAGAGACTGTGTCCATCCTCGTCAATCTCCACTTCGTTTTTGGCCTCCAACCTAATAGCGATGGCCTCCAACCTAGTAGTTTCTTGCTACTAACTATACAGTATAGTATATAATGCCCTTAGTCAGAGTTCCAATTCCTCACTCCCCCTCCCGGACCTCCCTCCCTCCCTCCCTCCCTCCAACCTGGTACATCGCACCACTCGGCGCCGTCAGGGAGGCGCACATGCCGTTGTTGTTGATGAAGGTCCCCGAGGCCAAGGCGATGATGGGCGGGTCCTTTCTGGATCGAAACAAAGGGCGTTTCACCAACGGTACGTCTGTTCCTTCTAAGAACCCCAAAAAAAGGAAACAGCACGGGTTTTCGGTTCCGGCGCTTGTTTGGGCGGTTTTCATGGACGGAAATAGACCTGCACGTTGCTTCGAACTGGGCCTCGTCGATGGTCTTCTTGCCATTCTCCTCCTTCATCAAGGGGTTCACATAGAGCCCAGTATAGCCTTCTCCTGACGCTGTATGAGCATCGACCGAAGGGCTTGAGCATAGACACTAGAAGGATCTATAGAGTCCTGGGTTATGAGGTGTGTACTTCACAACGCAGAAGTTTTGAGGATGCTGCTTTGGGGAGGTTCTTGTGGGGGCCTGTGTGAAGCCAGGATGTCAAAGTGTAGCAAGTGATCAGATGGGTGCAGTGTGGTGAAAGTGTTTTGTACTTGGCTTTTCACGACATCTTCTAGTCACAGTGGCCACGGCGCGCTGCACGCACCCTTTGGAGACGTGCTGAAGAGCACGTGTCCACGCCAAGCCCTGTGAGAAGCCTGTGAGGTGCTCTATGCATTTATGACTTCTCCAAAAAGGCATTAACAAAATCAGAAGCCTGCAGTCAGAAACCACGTACTTGTAGAACCCTAGGCCCTAGAACAAACAAAACAAGCAAGGAAGAGGCCAGATGCGTTTTGCAGAAACGCAATTCGAGGATCATTGATGGATACAGTACTGAGTGGCTCCGCCATGCGTTTGCAGTGCCCCAAAGAAGCATTCATTGAAACAGCCGATCATCATGACCCAAAATGGCCTCCTCAGAGGCGACACAGATGCACCTAGCGCTCGACACAGCGATGACATCCCAGCGCTCGCCTTTCCAATGGAAACACCAAAAAATCGGTTCCGACGCGTGCACCATGCATTGACGGTTTTCTGGCAAAAACATGTCCACAGCTGGACATTCCCCCGAACCGAACGTCAACCGACAGGCTCTCTACGACCGAGGAACGCGCGCGGGGGATCGGAAGGTCTGGTGGGTCACGGAAAACCGCACGATTGGAGGCCGCAAAGAGCAAGAAATAAGGAGGCATGGTCCCAACATGTCGAAACATGAAGAAAAACACCACCAGCGCCAAGCTGGTGCTCCTCGGATGTAGCCATCCGCATAGCTATCAAAGCTCAAGCACCGTCCCTTCCGGGAGAGTAGACCCGCCCAGCCCAGCGTCCTCGGTACGGGGTGTCGCTGTCTTTTTTCCCCAGTGAGCGAGAGTGATGGCCTGAACACCGTCGGGGACTGCCTCTTGTAGTGTTTCCCGTGCCTTTTGACCTGAGACCATGCGACCTTTCTTTGTTTCTTCCTTTTCTTCCTTGTTTTTGTGTCTACAGTGAGTCTACAGTTTGATACTGTTTGTGCGTGTGACTGTTTTGTTGGCGTTCTCGTCGTCTTGAAGGAACAGCAAGTATACGGTCAGCTTGGGTATATGAGGATTTGAGACCGGATCAAGAGGGAGATGGACCCTGATTCCGGACCTTCATCAAGGTTCTTGAGACAACCCTTGCCCCCTGCAATTTTGAGAAAGAAACCGATGGTACACAACTCCATTGGATGAAACCGAAGCCAGCGAAGCATCATGGAACCGCCTTGGGGGGGGTGAGAACTGCCTCGCGGAACCCAATTTTTGATGAGATGCAAGTCAGATCGAGACTGAGCTGAACCGTCTTGGAAGACGACCCGAGTCGACCAAGACGGTTGGATGTGTCCCAGACCCCTCCAATGCGACGGCTCTGAATGTGCTTGCATTAGAGCCTCTGGTTGGTCTTTTCGAAAGTGGTGAATTTGTGGTGGCTTGCTGAATCTCGATCGCTTTATCCCCATGTGCCCGGACTCCAACTAGGGGGGGACAAGAAGAACCCTCATCACTTCCTAATCCTCCATGTCCGGAAATGAAGGACGATTCCCAAACCCTATTGACCCGAAGATCACTCCATCCAGTCCAACTGAGTCGCATCGGCCGAGCACAAACCGATCCCACACCCCCCGGGTCCAGTCAACCCGCCGACCCTTCAGGGCGGCCGTTGGACCCTCGTCCTGGGGTTCTTCCGAGCGGCAGGAGACCTTGGGGATGCACGTTGCAATCCACCCCCAAGGCCACGGCGGCGATGCATTGAGCCTCCGTGATGCCAAGGGGCACTGGCCGAACCCCAAACGCGCGCGCTTTTGTTTTGAGAGGTTGTTTCTTAGCTTTCAGCCACCCAAGACGGGATGCTCATGGAGATCCTATTGTCCTAGACTTGAGCTGGGTGTCTACTGCTACAGGTCTCAAAGCAGTCGGCCCAGCTTCTCTTGGCAAAAATCCCCACCATTGCAGCCAGTACATGCAGCATGCATCCAATTCCAGTCTAGGACACCAGAGCCAAAGCATGAATATGGAGACATTGAACAGAAGAAAAGAGGTTCACTGCACTTCGGCGGATGTGCCTCGATCAACACACCGTTGCTGTTGTTACGGGTGCTTTCATCAGCCCGGCATGCTATGATAGGATGCGCTCCCCTGACCACTGCTCCCTTTGTCCGTGGTGTTTGGACCCTAACATTTTGGCTACCCACGATCATGTTTGCTGGAACTGCAACCATGCCCCTGAACATGTTCGTTTTGAGCAATGTTTTGATACAGCACAAGCACGGCTTGCATGGCCGGCTTGTCGAGACTCTCAGGTTGACAGCGATGTTCTGAGGTGGCTTGCCCAGTGTCGGCAAGCATGCCTCTCACTTAGGAACTGAGCCCAAAAGCCGCTGCGCACCTAAGGTGCGCTCAGAGCGGCAAATCCCGGCGATTGCCCCGCGCTGTGCGGCTGCTGTTGGCGGCGGCTACTATTTGCGCTTGCTGTTGGCGGCGGCTTCTATGCGCGCTGTGGGTGTCGTCTTCATCTACATTTCTCTCACATTGAACAGAAGACCGGAGTCTTCTGAGCCTTCGTTTGCAAAGTCCATGTCGTGACATACGAACATTGGGTGTATATATATATATATATATATGTCCCATTCCGTCACCGTTCCTTGCAAGAGTGGATCTTGGTCCAGTTGCAGATGGACCTCTGCAAGAAGCTAGTGATGTTCTGGGGCATCACTACGAATAACAAGTGCATCACTACTGACATTGACGGCTCGTTTGGTCCTCCCAGACTGATCCGGGAAGACTTGCGAAGAAGACGCGAGGCCAAAGACCTAAAGCATTCGTTTCATCTCCCCAGTTGGATCCTGGATTCTAAAACCTCTTCATCTTCCTCATATGATGGGGGGCTTTGAAATATCATCCAGATTCCACGTGTCACCCCCCTATCCGGCCAGAACTTGTGGCCCTGGCAGCCTGGTGCTCCACTACGCCCTCTCTGGCTCACGGTCAGCGCGATGACAGAAGTGGCGAACTCCGGCAGAGGACTCGAAGTCCGGTGACCGGCAGAGCAGCACTGCTTCAGGTCGATGTCATGTCGATACCCCAGGTCTCAAGACTTAAAGAACCCCAGGTCCGAGCTTCGGAGTCCATCCACAGGAACCAAGAATGGTCACTCTCAGAGTACGTGGGGTGCTTGGTGGCGGCAAGGCTGCTCGGTCAAAGGCCTCGACCGACCACGAACACGGCCGGGCCAAATGGGGCGTCGAAGCTGGCCGGAGCCGGCTGACACGCCATGGGTCGGGCGACCGACGCGTACGTTGCAAGAGCCGCGGTCGATGGGCCTTGTCACGCTGCACGGAATCCACGGCGAGGTTGAAGGCGGTCAAGGAGGCCGCCCCTGGTGAGGATGGGTAGGAGCGAAGGCGACGATGGGTGGGAGCGGATGTCCGGCTGCGTCAGGCGACACATACAAGTAGCTCCTGAGGTCGGGGGTGGGATGTAGAGAGGGAGAGGGAGAGAGATAGAGAGAGAGAGAGAGTACAGCAAGGCAAAGTAGAGTACAGTACAGCGTACAGTATACAGTATGCAGGGTACAGTGCTTCGAAGAGACCTTGGATCGGCCAAATCGACCATGGGTCCATCAGAAAGGTCTTTTAATTCAAAAAGAGCTCGGCTGTAGCAACTGCTGAAGCGATCTGTCCACGGGATTTCCAGTTTCGGGTGCAGCCCTGGGTGTCCGGAAACGAGCCTTTTTAGGATGGGAGTCGTCGAACGACCTGGCTTTGTAGTGTAAAAATCCTTTGCAAAACAGCTCGTGCTGCGGGATTCAGACGATTTACAATCCTTATGAGTCCAAGGACCAAGTTAAACCTGGTCCTTGACCTCCTTAAGTACTGGTTTTGTATGACCATCTCCAGTAAAATGAGGTCTTTGACTTGTAGGGAATGGTGATTTGAAACACAAGAATATCCTCAACATTATCCATTCTTTGGGTTGCTCCTCTTCTCCTGATTGATGGGACATGTGATCTTTTTTCACACGCATCTGCAGTGTACACTGCTCTTTGTGGGAGTCTTGTTGAAGTGTTTTCTTTGCTTGGCCCAAGAAGAAGAAAAGATACTTCAATTCTGGAAGGAGGAGAGGGATTCGAGAGCCTGTTCTGACCTGCGGGCCTGTGGGCCTGTCGCCTTTTCACCTGCACATCCATGGTCAGCTTCCAGCTTCCCTGCGGAGACATGCCCAGGTGTTCACGAAAGCAGTTTCGTGGCTAGCTGGGAAAGTGGATGGAAGATGGATGGAATCGGGTCAACCACCAACCTGTTTTGATGGGTCAACCACCAACCTGTTTGGAAGAAAACCGACCTCTCCAACCACTCCGACCGTCCGGTCCGCTCCCCTTCGGTCCGGACCGGTGCCTTCGAGGTCAATGAAGAAGTTGGGCCCGTGGATGCCTCGCTCGGTTCGCCCGTTTCGCGGGGCCGGCGACGGAGCGAACCCCGAAACTCGCGAGGGTTTGGCTGGGTTCCCTCTCTAGAGACGAAGGAGACCGACAGACGGACAGCAACATCAAGAACCAGAAATCATGAGCTATCATGAGCTGGACAGGGGGGGCATGTTGCAAAGATTCTTCAATAATTGGTGTTGTTCATGTGGTTGATTCATTGTGCTTGGTCATGTGCTTGTTTTGGAGAGGAGTACAACTACAGTGTTTGTGTGCTTTTTCTGTCGGCTTCGCTGATCAGAAACCTTTGGCATACAAATCCCAGCACTCATTCACACGAAAAGCAGTACAAAAAGCGAAAGGGTGTGGCAGTGCAGTGCATTCCCCAAAAGACCTTCTCTTTTCGGCTTGTGGCAGTGCACCTTGTCAGCAAAGTAGCGACTTCCGGATCACCAAAGTAGAAGTGTCAAGAAAGCGCGAAAGCATGCACAAGGAGTGGAACAAAAACTGCACTCCCAGGGCCATGCCGCTTTAGCAAGGGTTTGTTTATAGAACAAACCCAATCATCCAGCCGTCATACGTACACATCTCCACCACCAATGCAGAGGCTCCGAGGACCAATCGCTCACTGGGCTCCTCACCCATGCAGAAGGAGATCCGATTCGCCATGATCGCCGCGGAGCCGCTGGTGGAGCCCAAAGCGCCGCCCACGTCGTCCTGGCGAACGCGCATTCACCCGGCCGCGAAGGGGAACGTGGCGCGTTCCCGAAGCAGATTGAGTGGGAACCCCTTTCCGTCGGGGTGTGAAGAAAAGGACATGGGCGCTGAAAAACGGTTTCACGTGAAAATATGAAAGGATTAAGAGTAAAAAAAACGATCAGGGGCAGAAGGAGTGGAGAAAGAGTCGGATGTACATCCTGATCATCCTGGGGTCGATTTGGGGGTCCAGGGATTCTCGCCAATCCTGATGGGTTTGGTTCGGGACCGGCGGTGATTTGTGTGGCAAAAGGTCAACCATCGCGATCGACCATCAGCTATGGTCAGCTGAAGGTGTTTTGCAGTCCCGGGGCAAGAAGGGAGAATCTCGAATCTCGGACAAATTTGCGCACACATGTGTCCCTTCTTCTGTGTTATTCTCCAAACTCCCTTGGCCATGCCAACCCTCAACAGCTTTTCCGAGCTTCGTTTGACACATCTGGCCGTGCGAACCAAACGGAACATAGCACTAAATCTGTTCAAAAAATCACAAGCAAACAAGCTCTTTCACCATACCCAGCACTGCCAATCCCTCATCAGTGCTCCCCTGTCACCCGCTCCTTGGGCACTTGCCCAAACTCCGAGTTCACGCCCCCGGGGCCACCCATGAAGACGCCGATGTTCGACCTCTCAACCGGTCTGGCGCCAGCAACCGAGCAACATCAGCCGGTAGGTCTGGCGCCAGAGGTATCTTGATGCCATGACCCATAGCGTTCGACCATTTTCACCTCCCAAAAATGAGCAGCAAAGCATAGCAAAGCTGTTCTTTTTTGCTTTTTGGTCACGTTGGAGGGCATGGGATTGAGGCGTTGAGATCGTTGTCGATTCTGTACCTCAAGACCTTATACCTTGTTCTCCTTTCCGCAGCCTTGGCTGGTTCTGACGCACACTGTCCAGAGATCCGCAGACGTGGCAACTGCAACCACCAGCCAAGCAATCAACCCTGCAAAAACCTAGCAAGTGCCAAACATTTAGCAGACTCTGTTGTTGCACAAGGATACCACCAAAGGCAGCAAGCACCTACGCGTTTTCGCGTAGCAAGGCCGGCGGCACATGCGCCGGCCGGCGCCTCATGAGTTTCTTCTCATCCAGGCCGGCGCTCATGGTGGTCTCGTAGAAGACCTCCAGGCAAAAGCCCAGTGAGCCAGAACAAAGGCCCGAGACACGTCTCGGGGTTTGTATTGAAACTGAACTTAAGAAACTGCTCGGACGTCCTCCACTACCAAGGTTTCAGCTTTTAGCCAGTCCAGATCGCCCGCCCGCACCCACGCCCGGAAAACCCGTCGGAGAACACACGAGATGGACGACGCGTTCCCGAGCGCCCAAAGCGCTCGAACCCAAGCGCCGCACGGAAATCAGTGCTCCGCACGGACCGCGCTGAATGAAGAGGTGGGGTCGTGTGGCACTCTGTCACTGCACTCTGGAGTGAACACCACCTATTTTGGTATGAAGATGTTGGAGAAATCGCCGAAATCGAGGCCATGCCATCCATGCCATCCACTTCAATGCTTTTTTCAGGGAGGTTAACACTTGAAGTGAATGCCCTTCCAAGAACACACTTCGACATGCACTACGGATCACAGGCGTTCGACCCACCAAAAAATGCTGAACCCTGCTAGGTTCACTTCTCTGGTACCTCCGTGTCACTTTTGGGGAAGAACCAAAGGGCCACCGACAGTCACCGTCACAACCAAAAGAAAGGATCTGACACTGGACCATCCGCTCCAAAAAAGAAGATGGTGCTTTTGTACAGATGGTGCTGATGTGCTCTTCGATCAACCACGTGTGCACCAAAGAACTCCCAGAAAAACCACCGACCTGATGCTGCACACCGTCTTCTCCACCTCACACAACATCTCGGCTGGGCCCGAAGCCCCTGCACCAATCCACCTCCAAGGCTTGTCGCTGATTGGGATCCATCCCAGTGGCTTCCATTGGACTGATCCTTAGCTCACCCAGGCCCAGCTAAGGCCCAGCTGAGGCTCCCCCCAAGCTTCTGGGAATCCCTCATCTCAACAGCCACTTCGGATTGTAGCCAAGGGCCTTGGGGGAGCTATACTAGCTCATGGGGTGTTGGTATGTGATCCTGACCTGTTACCCTGCTCTTTGGTCAACCTGATCCTTATGACTGTTTGACCAAAGAACTCCAAACTCAGCCTTCAACACAAAGTTTGCCCTATTTTCAGTGAGGTCCTCATTCCACAACTTCAAGCAAGGATTTTTCGGCAGAACCAGCTTCACATCGTAATGCACTTCTCAGTAAAATGTTTGCATAACTTTGGATTTCAACTGATACCAGTAACCTAAATGAGATGAGATACCTAATCAATATTGTTTGAGCCCCGACGTGCGTTGCGGCGTGGATAGCCAAGAATCTTCTGACGCATCCCAAATGATTGAAATCAATCTAGAAACGCCGCGAGCCGATTGAACAGTTCTTCATTCGGAGAATGAGAGGCACCCAATCTAGGAAAAGAAAGAAAACATATTATCCTTGTCACCAGAGGCTCTTCCAACGTTACAGCCCAACAAGGAACAAACACCATACGCATCATACGGATTTGTCAAGTCAGTTCAACAGGGTCATCCAGTGTGGAAAAACAACTCAGGAAAGCTGTGTGAAATCAACTATCCGCTCATCGCACATAAGGAAGGCTAGAAATCGATGGTCCCAGTCTCCACTTGGTGAAATCAAGCCCTGGCTGATTTTCTCCAGTCCGGGGCCAAGAGTCCCTGTTTGATCTAGGACACTTGAATTCCTCCTGCCACCTCCGGAAACTGACATCTTTCAGTTGACATATATATATATATATATATACGTTCCTGGCTGGAAGATCGGTCAAGTGGCTTGAACATCTTGTTGTCAAAGAGTTCCAGGCCCTCCATGAAGCAGCCGTGGTTGCAGTGCGTTTTCCACTGGCCTGCAGCATCCTGCCAGTGGCATCAAAGATAGAAGACACCAACTTCTGAAACTGTCGAAACAGGTCTCAGCTCTCAATAGATTCAGCTTAGAAGGCCTCGCCTTTGCAAGCTCCCCTACAATGCCAAGTGGTCTACACCTGTTTCCCAGACCAAAATTCGCCCATTGATATCACTGTCTCCTTCACTAACTTCACTTGAATTCCTAAGAATATCACTCCTGAAACCCGACGTTGACGATCCTCAAACCCGACCCACAGCACATCGTAATTCACCACAAAAAAAAAAGAAAACGTGCAGACTTCACGATCGTAACCACGTTTTTCTGACTCCAAACCGCGTCGGTTTCCCCTCGATCCACGGACGTCCTTCATCGGATCTTGGGAGTAGTACTGTTCATGATCCCAGCCTTGCGAACCCCGGCGGACGTCTGACCGGCGGACGCGTGTTCGGCACGGGGCCGTATGAGGGGAACGGAAGGAGAGGAACAGTCGAAGGAGGTCTGGCTAAGGTGGCAAAACGAGGTCTATAGAGATGAAAAAAGCACACAAAAATGAAGATAGAAAGGGAACAATGACTTCACGAAGAGGGTTTTCACGGTTCTCGATGGTGCGATGTCGGAGGCGGCTGGGGTCCGGCCATGCACCGAAGCCACACAAGATCGACTCTTGATTCAAGATTATATTCCCTAAGAATCCGGGCCCTCAATTAGATAGGGTTTTGAGGGTCCGGACCCCTGCTATGGAGGGTCCGACCCCTGCCATGGAGAGCCCAAGGATTCTTAGGGTATAAATGATTTATGTCAACCCCCCAATACTGAAGAGGTCTTACAATCCAATACTGAAGAGGGTTTGATTCATCAGGAGATATCAAGAGTCTATGTTAATGACCTATTCTTACGTGCTTGCCCATCCTCCATGGCCGACTTGGTGTCGCCCGAGTTCGTTCCAAAAAGAAGCAAAAACACAAAGACCAGCGAGCAAATCACGACGACGACTTGAGGCCTCAGAAATTCCCTTCGGAAACCCGTGGACACCTGAACGACGACTCTCGCCGACGGCTGGGCATTCTCTTCATCCAGAAACGCGCCGAACAAAAAGAAAAAGACACACGTAGACCGTAGACCTCGTCCGGCCCAGTTGAGTTCCCCCGGCGCAGGTGCGGTACCATCTGACCTCCGTCAATGCCTGGCAGGCGAAGGCGGGGCCAAGCGCGGGCCTAAATGTAGACTCTTGATTCATACCCTCATTTGAATTGGACATCCTCTGAAGAGGAGTATGAGGGTTTCAAGTTCGGATGTCATAAGGCGTTCTTCAAGGGGACCAAATGAGTGAACAGCATCTTTACCTCGAGACCGATGGAGCAAGAAAATGATTGAGATCACAGCCGGTATAAGAAAACCTCCCAATGACGCCCAGACCAAAGCAACCAATCTGTGCGGGCAGCGCATTGTCTTTTGATTCGGCCCAGATGTGATCTCACAACAGCATCTCGTCTCGCAAGCCGGCACCCTGCAGCGGCACCTCCAAAGTGCACCAGCAGGCACCTTTACCTATACTTGAAATAAGAACCCCACTCTCTCTCTCTCTCTCTCTCTCTCTCGGGCAAATTCTGTTGGAGCTGCCACCGATGGCATGGCAAGCCAGGGGTCTACCCCACTAGCTCAGTCCGAAACGGGCACGGACGGCAGAACCGCCGCTGGGACGATCGAAGAGAGCAACCTTCCAGGTGATCTTGCGGTTCATTTAGATTGGAGCCAAAAATAATCCTCAAGTGTTCTGAAGACTTCAACTTCTGGACAGGAAGGGTTGACCTCTTGTAATTTAGTCTACTAGCGTTCTTTCTCGTCTTTGGGTTGTCCTATCTTTAACCTATTTTCGTGCTTTTGGATTGGCTTGTGCTCAGCCCAAATCGAGGGTGTACTTTGAATTCGTGTTTTGTCTCACCTTTTCGGGATGTTTTTTTTCAAAATCCTCCGGTTCACATTCCCTTGCCAATTACGACAATTAAGAAACAGCTGCCATAGCGGGCAAAAGACACTGGAATAGTGCAGGTTTCATAGTTATTCTTAGCTAATTACAGCAATTTGTGGTCCTTAGCAGAGACACAGCTGTCGTGGCTGGCAAAATACATTGGAATAGTGCAGGATTCAAATTGGTTGCAGCGTGGTCGACATTTCGCAAATTCAGTTTCGCGGGAAGCATGGCAGAGAGAGAAGCAAAAATAACCACAACCATCAACCAAGATACAGAAGAGCGCAACAACAGCAGCAAAAGCAAAAAATACCAAAAGCAAGAAACAACATACAGCTACAGCAATACTGGGGCAACAAAAACGAAGATTCTCAGTCTTGCTGTGCTCTCTGCATCTTCCAAACGGTGAGGATCACGTGTGCTTGGACCACAAACATGCCCTGATGACATGTATGGTGTGCAGAAATACCCTTCACTATACTCCCATGATGTGAACCCTTCCCCCAAATGACGAACGCGCCCCTCACCTCGTCTTCATCTCCGTCTCGCCCCACCCGCGTTCACCCACCCCACCCCCACCTGCCATGATCGCCGAGCAAAAGGCATCCGGGTCATGTGCAGCGACGGGCTCCCTGACCGGTCCAGCTTCGGCCGCGCTGGCGGGTCGATGCGCGAGCACAGGCTCCCTGGGCCCCACCCTGAAGAGGCTAGGTGGTCATTCATCAAGAGTCTACATCACTTGGTGTGCCCCAAACCCAGTCTCCTGCATCTTTGAGAATTGAGACGCTCTGATGCGATGCATCGAAAGGAGTCCCACTCATCGCCCAATTCTGCCTGATTCAAGTCCATCAACAGTGATACGAGTCAATCCCAGGCTGAACGGTTCCATCTTCGCGAACGAGCTGGACGGCTCCTTCACCTTTTTCTCACTTCAATGCGTTTTGGAGGTCCCGACCAAACACGGCGCCACCGACCCGCCCAAACCCCGGGGCCGTCGTCCCCGCCAGAGACGTGACGCCGAAACTGTGACTCTTAAGAGGTCCAAAGACAAAAACTTTAGATGATGAAAAGGTAACAAGGACATCACCCATAAGTGTTCTTCGCAACTTTTTCACATAACCCAAGTGTTCAAGGAAATTCCATGAAACTCCAAAGTCAGGTCCTTTAGATGATGCAGGTCGTCTCCAGGACGGTCTGTGCCAGGTCTGTGCCAGGTCTGGGCCCGGGTCTGAGCCCGGAAGTCGAACGATCCGCCCGACGCGTCCTCCCGAAACGCCAAACGCCCCCAACTCGCGGTTGGTGCTCTGGCTGAAGAGAGAATGGTGGAGGGAAACGGAAGGGTTGGATGAGCCAAAAAGATCACCGAAATTCGCCTTCGCCAACAGTATAGCCCCTCGCATCAAGCACTGCGGTCCGTGCGCACGGTTGTTGGGTAAAGGAGGTTGGAAGATACGGGTGCTCTGCCAGGTCGGACCGGTGTCAGTGTAGGATGCGATGAACAAGTCCTTGATCGAGTGGGAATCAAGGGATCGTTTGCACTTGCACATGTCTACAGATGTCTATAGCTGTTAGTAAAGTAATCTATATATATATATACATAGGGTTGAGTGGTCACAGTCCCGTCGCGCCTGGCTGCACAGCCCCGGACGGCGCACTGCTGGCCCTTGTGGAGGTTCCTCAGATGGAACTTGTTCCCATGCCTTTACCTGGAACCCAAACATAACCGGTGTTCAAAGGACGATTGAAATGCTGCACATTTTCCACGTCCCTCTGCCATGTTTCTTATTAGCTTCTTGTTCCTAGTACTAAGGCCAGGAGCCCCGAGTAACTAGCGTCCGATCGCTCCTACCCTCCCAAAATCATCACCCCGGTTCCCTACACGTCCAAACCCAAAAGAAACCTGCCGCACTTGGTATCAACGGTCGCTCCGCTGGCCCTCAACGCGCGGAGGAAATCCCTGACCCTCAACATCCCTCAACTTCACCACACCTGAGCGCCTGGCTGATTGGCAATGCGCTGAATCTGAGGCGGACAAACGCGCGAGGCGCAGATGGTGCAGGAGGTGCCACGCACAGCCCGGTGGCGGAGTGGCACCGCCACCGGCTGAGCCAAAGTTCACGCCGCTCGGATGTTCATTCATGGTTCGACGTTCCAGGGTTTTTTGTTCACCTGTTTTGAGATAGATTCTATACAACACATGGGTTTTGTGTGACTCTGGTTGATGTGTCAAATACGAGTACGAATTGATGAACGCCTGGGGTGCGGGGGCTGCTTCAGTTCCGCGAGATCTGAAACTGATCGGTTTCGGTCTGGAATCATGTCAAGTCCACCTGGACAAGGCGTGAAACGCCCCACAACCGGCGCTCTGACGAAGCATTGACTGAAAGAGGGAGAACACCCCAGGCAACCCCTGGTCTTCTTATCATACAGAAAACATGCGATTGCAGGTGTTCGAATCAACAACACGACGAAAATGGTTGACTTGCTGACTCACCCTTACTTTAAAACTGCTGGGTTTTGCCCGCCGTGAGAAAATACGGAAAACGAAAAACCTGACAATTCTGAGTTGAACATCACCATCGAGAGCACCAAGCAGCTGTGGTTTCTCTTGTTCTTCTACCCACCCTGTCACCTCCTCGCACCGTTCCCTCCCACCCAATACGGTCAGACAGTGCAACACCGCTCGAAGCAACACCGTTCACTGGGGAGCCCGAACGGCTCGGCTCGTTTGCGCTTCGAACTCCTCTTCGTTCTTCGCCGACTCCTGACTGGGGCGGCGTTTCGAAGGACGGGACGGTGGAAAACTGCCATCGACCGGGCGGAGAAGGACACGAGATGCGGATTTCGGGGGGGTGCGTTGGAAAATCCTGTGCGAAGATCAGACGATGTTATAACACTGTTTCTTCCGGAATCGCCAGGAGTTTCAGGACGGCTCCTTGGAGTTGCGGGATGGGAGTGCCTCTGAGGGAATTCCCGGATTGGACGAAGGACTCATGTGGTAGAGCTGTTTTTGGTGCGGACGACTGTCCGGACTTCTTGCTCCGAAGCACACGAAACGCGCACGGTTCCGAACGCACAGTGTTCCACAAGTCAGGCAGTGCAGAGGTGGTCTGCGCTCCTTGATCTTTAGGAGATGCCTCCCCAAGTCCTCCTGCAACTGCGACGCCAACGGCGCCTTGCACGAGGAAGCGCTCGTCTTCCGCTCTCTCTCTCTCTCTCTCTCTGTCTCTGTCTGTCTCTGTCTGTCTCTGTCTGTCTGTGTCTGTCTGTGTCTGTCTGTGTCTGTCTGCCTGCCTGCCTGCCTGGCTGTCTGTCTGTCTGTCTGTTTCTCGGAAGGCGAAATCGTGGGGGTGGGGGGAGAGCCGGGCAGAGAAAAAGCCTTGGAAAAAGGAGCGACTTGGAGAACCAACAAAGCAATGTTCGTCAATGTGCGTCTTCACCCGAAGTTGACCCACCGCCTTGCCTGTAGAGCCTGATGACTCAACCATCCTCAACATTGCCAAGCAACATGACATTTGGAGCGGACGGCCTCTTGATTTGGAGCGTATACCACAACAATGAGACCTACTCGCCATCTCCCCATCGACCCACCTCACCATCTCACCATTCTCAGGGCCCCCCGACATTGCGTTGCGGATTCGGCCTGCGTGGCGTCCGACCGCCGGATTCGACGGGTCGACGGATTCGTTCGGAGAGAAGTCTTGGCCAAGGAAACGCATGAGAACCGAAGGGGCAGAAGGCGCGCCTTTTGTGCGTGTTCACTTCACTTCCGCCTTCCACGGACTTGACTCATGAACGACCCGAAAACCACCACTACTAGACCGGTGGAGTGGGTGGGTGCCAGAGTTTGAGGGATTGGATAGATTTGGCAGTCAGCCATTCCCCTGATCTCCCAAACAAAACTCTCAAAATTGATTCGAGGTCTTCAATCAGCAGGTGATCTGGGTTGAGCAAGATAAGGGCAAGAATGGGCTCAGAGTTGTTAAGGTCGTGCACGTTTGTAGGTGGGAGACGAGTTTGGTGTGTGATCTGACGTTGGTTGGCCAGATCCAAATGGAGAAGGTACGGTACAATTGTTATACGATTTGTCAGACTTTACAGTGATGCGGCTCCTGGGCAAGACGGCAAACTTCGATGCTGAGTCCCGAAACCCCAGGAGGAAGTTCGTCAGCATGAAGCATTTCCCTGGCATCGCGGAAGACAGAAGTGAAATGGAAAATAAATGTGCGAGTTAGGTATATCATCCGATGACCAGGTAGAGTGGATGATGATGGTTTTTACATGTTTTTACGCAATTCGAGTTGCTGGTTTACTGGGCTACACCCTAAAATGGAAAGGCGAAAGCAGCGGCTTCCGGTGGAGAAACTTTACGTTGCTTTGATGCAAAGCGACCAAAGGAAAGGCAGTTCACCCAGTACTGTTTCAATAGCTGAACTTGAAATGCGCTAGTCGCCACTTTGATCACAAGAACATAATTGGTTGTGTCTTCTTCTTCTTCTTCTTCTTCTTCTTCTTCTTCTTGAGAAGCTTCCACGACAAGTTGTGGGTTGAGCATGCTCAGCTACTAGACCCGCTATCCTCCCTGAGAGACCCACCAGCATCACATGCTGGTGATGGCAAGGGACCAACATCTCCTGCGAGTACATGCATAGCTCTTGAAAAATCCTCTTCTGAAGTGACTAGCAGTCAAAGGTCAACGAGAAAGTTCGCACAGGAGAGAAAGGGACAAAAATCCAAAGGGCAGTTCAAGTCGGAGATATCTGCGTGGAGCGGTTGGAACATGTTTGAACCACTTCCAAACGTGTTCCGGAGTTGCCGAAAAGGCAGATCACATCTGAGATCTGTGGGTTCACAGCTCCTCTCTTGAAGTGCCTCTTGAAGGGACCCACGGATCCACGGATCCACCGGACGTCACGTCCGGTACGACCGGACCCTCCCGCACCGGTGGCCGTCGAAACATGTCGACAGATGCGAAGGGTTCCGGCAGAGCCACACCTGGTTGCCATATGTTGCCATGCTACTTACTGTGTTTCTTTTTCCAGGTCTCCGCTTCAGCAACGGAATCGATTCAACTGTGCCAATGTCCCTGAACCCACCGGTTCCTATCATCCCAGCAATCCCGTATCAACGCGCTCGCCGCGCTCGCCGCGTTCGCCACGTTCGGGCAGCCTTTGGGATTTCGAGCGTTCGAGCGTTCGATCCGCCCGGAAGGACGTGAACCCGGGCATATTGTGGGGGAGTATTGCTCACTGTGATCCAGCTGTTCGTGCTTTGTTTCGGAAACCAAAAGGATGAGTTCAATGACGTACTAAAACTTGCAAGGTCGAACTGAAAATGCCATGCGACTTGAGTTCTGTGATCCATGGTCTAACCAACCTCAAAAACCCACCGGCCTCGTGAGCTGAAGCGGTGCGTGAGGCAATCCGCGCGCAGGAAGACCAAGGAGCCAGGTCTGGGCACAGAACGGAAACCCCCGCAGTGAAACGACTCCGGCTTTTGTCCGGTGATGGTTTGGTGTGGGTTTGGTGAGGCAAAAGACTCAGGCTCGGTGATGGTGGAAAACCGTGTGATTCTCCCCAACTCGAACCAACAGATAGAACAGTTCTGCCTAGGATCGAACTACTTTGTTTACTTTGTCTCATCTTCATCCATCCTTTTCTGACCAATCACATTCTTGATTGGGGCAACCACATCACTTGCCAGATGAAGAGGGCAACCATCGTCGAAATTGACCGTAGAGAACAGCCAATGATGCTCTTTGGAGAACACTTGCCAAGACCCAAAGACGGCCGCAGTGTGCGTGTGTGTGTGTGACACCCGTTTGAATTGGTGTTATTCTCCCGGATTCTCCCGGTTTTATTGCAGCAGGGGGTGCCAGGGACCATGCAAGTCTGGCACTAACAAAGACAAAAAGGCCGCTCACCCGTCCACGCCTCAACTGCACCCGATGCGTTCCAGCATCTTCCGCCAGAGGTCGTAGCTCAAGGCCTCGGGCGAAATCGACCGCGTGCGGGTCCGGCAGGAAAGAGGACTCCTGTGGGTTCGAAGTGACTTGTTTGCTGGTGGTAGACCACCTAAGAACTCAAAAGACCTACCTCTGCAATCAGCATCAGTACCCGGTTGGGAAATTTTCAAAGGAGATCTCGCGCGACCCACGCGTGACCCGTCGGAGTCTCGATCGAGCGATGTGAGTGCCAGACCACCTGTGGTGCCGTCGGCGTTTCGTCTCCCTCTTGAGGTCCGTTTGAAGTATCAGACAAAAACAAAAACCGCAAGAGTTCTCCAGAGATGCCCAAAGAAATTGACAGCTTGTGAGAACAACCGGAGAAAAGCTTGTCAGAGTGAGGTACCGGACACTAGCAGTGCTGGACCTCGCTGCTAGTACCCGGCTTTGCTTGGGGGTTCGCGGCAGGACCGCCTTGCGAGTTGAGGTTGAGGGGTCTTCAAGCTGCCAAGAAAAAACTGGACCACTGGACCACTGGATTTCTGATTCTGGTTTTGTCTGAAAGTAGAGATTTCTAGAAATAGAAATAAGCATCCAAAGTACTAAAGCCTTAGATAGCTGAGATGAGTAATCAATATATACCGTATGTCCGGGTATTTCCATAGAAGTGAAAAGTGATGCATTTCCTGCTGGCGTGAAGTGGAATGTCAGGACGCACGTACCTATCAGTGAAAAGATTTAGGGTGCCCATGCAGGAAGCTTTATGATGCCGATCACTTCATGGGCCGATCGGGGGGAGTTCTGCCCTAAGCCAATCACTTTGCGCCTGACACACTTCTCTAAGAGCTGGCTCACTGCGCCCTTCTACCAAGCATCGCCACACTACACTTCACCAAGGGGTGTGACCCTGGCACCCTAAGGGGTGGTCAATGGACACTGCACCCCTTATATACCACCAATTGGCTCTCCTTGGGGTCTCCGGGTATGTACCAACACACGTTCCACTTCACCACGTTCCACTTCACCACATCACCAGAGATTTGGGCCACAAGTCAAAGAGTAGTGGCACCAAACCTCTCCAAAAACGCCCTTTTCTACGGCTCTCATTGGTCTCCGTGACGACTCCGACTGTCGGACGACGCGACGCGAATCGCGCGGCCCGGCCCGTTTCGTCTTCTCTGGGCATCTCCGGCTACCAGGTTCCGGCCCAAGACAGAGGAGCATCATGAAGCGATGTCGCTGGAAGATATGAATCCACCTCAGTTCTTGGTGTCATTTAGCTGGAGAAAAAGATCACACTGTTTTGGTTGGTCCATGAAGATCTGGAAACCTTTCGCAAGATCTGGGGACCTGGATACGTCTCACAATTCTGCTTCTGCTGCACTGGTGGCTACTGGTGGCCGAGTGTCCCACCAGGAAAACCGTGTGGTATCACTAGAAGAGAGGCTTGCTTGTGTGGTATCAGCGTGTGGTCAGCGACTTTGTCGAGGTTTTCATGGTTCAGAGTGTGTGGATTCCAGTCATGCGTGTGGATTCCGCACGTAGTGTGGCACAAAACTTCGAGTTTTGCTACGAATGACTTGTATATGGTGATTCTCTTGTGAGGAGTCATCCAAGTAAGAATGGATGAGATCACCTGCACCTTCGATCTATCCATGTCTATCCATGTCGCTAGGAGCTTTGTCGATCCCCCCTGAAAGTCCGAAGCTCGAACGCCCAGGGCACTCTCTGTTTTGATGGGAAAAAGGATGAAAAAAGGGTGCCATAAGTTGGTGTAGAAGGTGGATCTATCTTTTTAGAGGTCCAGTCCAATCCTTGGCGGGTCGGAAGAGGATTTGGGGGAAACGGCGTCACGACTCGGTGGAGTCCGCAGCGATGGCGCGCCGTAGACCCGCGGCGCGCGCGCCTCTGCGTGACCCGTTTTCACTGGGTTTTAAGCGGGGAAAGCATCCAGGAGTAAAAACCATCCGATGGCCCGCGGCCCTTTTCATCACAAGGCCAGGTATCAAAGTGCTCTCTCACCAAATACTTTCAAAGAACCACCATGGTCGGGCTGAATCCCTGATAAAGCACGGCCATAGACGATCATCTTCGGATGCTGGGCCTTTAAAAAGACAACAGGAGGCCGTTAGAAGCGTTCGAGTCATGCGCTTCCAAAATGTGGTCATTGGATGTCCACGTTGATGGGGCTTTGTGGCTTCCAAAGGATGGAACAAGAAAGGATCATACTAGTAGCGTTCTTGCCCTTTGTTATGTTCCTAGTAGCTTCTTGCTCCCAGTAGTAAGGCCGGGAGCTACTAGTATTTCCTTCCTTGCTCCGTTCGTATGTCATTGGATGATGAAAAATGATGAAAATCATGATTTTCCTGCTGAACAGCCTGGAGATGAGAATCCAACAGCCGTGCAAGACTCTCTTGATCAACTACCGTCTAGTCGGTCAACTACGGCCGGGAGGATGGGCGTCCACGCTTGAGCATGGCATCGTTGCTGAGCTTCGGCGCTTTGGATTTGTCGCCACGGCTCTGCCCCGCCTGCACCGTTGGGAGATCGACGCATCACGGGGCCAGCCAGCCGAGCGAGCCAGGCAGTGGGCAATTCCAATGCGAGTGGACTCAAATAGTGATATAAATCTACTCAAGGTTGGCGTTCGCGAGCAGTCAGGTTTCCGTTCTCGTGGCGCCGACCTCCACTTCACCCCAAAAACCACTGCGGCAGTGTGTTCTTCCCACCGGTGTTTGCCTTCGTTCTTCCGGCGCCACGAAACGCTTCGGCGAGCAGCACGAAAGGCAGCGTTCTTCGGCTTCGGACTCGGTCCTCCAAGAGCATGAAAGGGCTGCGCGAGGTCACCTGCGAGTTCGGGTGGGGCGAGGTCACCTGGGGAGGTGAAAAAACCGAAACCAACCGAAACAGGAGGTGAAAAAGATCGCTCTGGACCTGCGTTCTTCGATCTGAACACCGATCTGAAAACCTCTTTTGATGTGAAAAAGGGCCCGTCGAAAAGCAACGTCTTTGTTCAGGAGGAACTCTCATTACACCGTCTGAGGTCAAACCGCTCCAACTGCCACGCCCCTAAACCGCCCCCAACTGCGCCTGAAAGTCCAGGATGTTCGGAGCCTGAGGGAGGGGCGCTGTCTCGGATCCGGAGCCAAGAAATGAAACAGCTTCCGGTGTCTGACGACGACACCGAAGCTGTCTTGGGGCCGTTTTCCATCTCCTTCATCTGCTGCGCCTGCGCTCTTTCCCCCCAAACCGCCTGCCCCGCCACCGCGTGGGGACGCGCGTGAGTTGGGCGCTCCAAGGGACCCAGGTCGCCAGCTGCGAGAAGCGCTCCGAGATCTCGCCCGTGAGCTGCAGCAAACTCGGCCTGGAGCAAACTCGGAGACGTTTGACGTGGTTTGACACCAAAGGCCTGGAGGAGGTCCATCGAAACGCGCCAGAGACCGACACTGAGACACTTCACGGAAAGTCGAGTTTCTATGGCAGTGCCACAAAAAAAGGGTCTCTGAACTGCGAAAACCAACTCCTGGGAAAAGTCCTGAAATGTCCGAGAACTTGAGGGCTTGCACGAAACTCCACTGCGCTTCAAAAAGAATCCCAACCATTGCCCCGCACCATGAGCCCATCCACTCCTTTACTCAGAGGGCTCCTTCCCAAAGCTGGGTTTCTTTCGGCGCACCGGTTGTTCCGCCGGAAAAGACAAATAGAACACACCTGATCCAGATTCCAGCTTCTTCCATTTGTGACCTCTTTGGAGTTACAATGTCTGACGATCAATTCCAGGCGGCCGGTGAGAAGTCGCAACTGGGAGGCCGATGAAACACCAGGTCACGAACCGATGAAACACCAGGTTGATGAACACACTGAAAGGCGATGTGAACGATATGAACATGAAAGCTCTCGCACTGGGCTTCCCTCACATCTTCCCCGACTGGAGGGGATCCACCGAAAGCTCTCGCTCGCGAGCAGCGCCGGCCTCCTGACAGGCACGAGAAGCAGTGAAGAAATGGGGCGTTTGCACCCAGAAAGAAAAGAACCCTTAGATGTGGAAAGTTGAAGTCACTCGTGATCCAGTCATTTCCAGTTGTGACCGTGAAGGTTACTATGCAAGTTTTGGGAGTCTATGAGTTGAAGCTCTAGATATCCAGAAGGTCTCCAATGTGGCCATTGTCAACCTTCGTTGTGGATGGATTCCCAACCATGGTTCACGGATCAACCGATCCTATGCCTGCATTGGCTCAAGGCCGAGCCATTCGTCGTTCGAACGCATGACATGAGTCAGCGAGAAAAGGTGCGATGTGTGTTTGGGTTCGGGTCATGTCCCATGTTCCCTTTCATGCTTCATGTTAGGTTCCCCACATGTTCCAATCTGGTTCAGAAATTCCGCATGGTAGCGGAGCACATGGTGCTCATAATTAGTTCGATCCAGAACCTTTTGGGGAACCACAGCACTCACATCCGAACACGAGCTCGAGCCATGGGAGATGAATCTGAGAACGGTGGAGGTGATCTTAGAGATCGTTCACCTCGAGGCCGAAGACGGCTTCGTTCTTTGCCTGCAGTGGTAGAAGCTCCTCATCCTAGTACATTGCCACCAGCTGTTTCGTCTCGATTGGAAAGCCAGTTGAACAGTATGACACAGTCATTGGTTGGTATGAATAGCCAAATTGTGACACTTGCTGGTATGGTTCAGCAACAACAAGAGGTTATGAAACAAGCGCAAACAGCGTTCCAGACTCAGCAGGTTCAATTGGATTCTTTGCGTGCTCAAGCCACACAGCTGCCGATTACACCTCGAAAGTCTCGTGATAGTCCATTCAATTTGGACAGCAAACCAATGCCTTCGAAGCCGACGCCTAACGGAGGTTTGTCTTCGCCATTCGAAGCTGCTGCACAGACCACCTCAGGTCATCAAGCTGCATCCACCGGTGTTGCAAAGTTGGTTTTGCCCGATGGAACTTCCATCCCATTAGGCTCATCAGGTGCCGCTCCAGCTGGTACTCAAGTGCCAAACTCGTCATCTGGAAGCGGATCGCAGAGTTTTCAGCTTGACGCACTGCAAAGGTCGGACAAGTGGTTGCCATCGATGCCAACGATCAACACGTCTTCATGGAAGACCAGGACAGATGAGATTCTGGGGTATGAGAATTTCCTGGAGTCACTGACATCGTGGCTGGGCTTGGTGTCGGAAAAGTTCAGTCAAGAAGTCAGATTTGCAGCCACCTCGAAAACGACGATTGAACCCCACATGCTGACAGAAGAACAGAAATCAAGGGGCCTTCGCCTTTTGAATATCCTTCGCCAGGTCTTTCGAGACGTGCCCAAGGCTCGCATCATTTTGATGGCCTACAGCGAGTCCTATGGCGAGAAGAACGGGTTTGAGGCCTTGAGATTGGTCACGATTGAGTACATGGTCAGGTCAAGACAAGAGATCATGCACTTTAGAAACAACCTGTTATCAAGGGTGTTCAAGTCCGGCAGTGTTACAGAGTTGGTCAAACAGATGGAGTTTGAGGAGTCCAGGTATGAGAAACTGTTGAACATGCTTCCAAGTGGTATATCCAAAAGTGGCCTTGAAATCCAGGACACAGACCTCAGCATGTTGTTCCTTCGCTCACTTCCTCAGCAGGTGCGTGAGTTTGTGACCATCCATGGTGCATCTGATGCCTACATCGATTTGAAACAGTCAGCACTTCGTCATGAGAGCAGTCAGCGACTCTGGATGGAAATAGGAGGCAGCACAGCATCTCAGTACCTGAATCAAGGTGTCTTTGACAAGAAAGGCAAAGGTAAAGGAAAGGGCAAAGAAAAGGGTAAGCATCGCTCAGATTCGACCTCTCCAAACAAGGCTGATGATCGCAGCGAGAAGGAGAAGCAATCAACCTGCTTTCGTTGTGGGAGAAAAGGGCACTTTCAATCCAACTGCCGGGCAAAGACCGACAAAGAAGGTAAGGCTTTGGCAGCAGCTCCTGATTCCAAAGGATCTCATCAGGATCCAAAAGGCTCAAAGAAAGGTGGAAAGGGGAAAGGAAAAGATGGGCCGCCCAAGAAGGGCAAAGGAAAGGGCAAAGGCAAGATTGCCGAGTTCATCTCAGAGGCCGAGGGACAGCCAGAGAGCGAAATGTCGCCTGCTGCGAAAGCTGCCGCAACCCCGCCTTTGAATGTGCCGCTCACGCCTTTTGTCGCTTCCAGCACCATGCCATCGTCGTGTTACCGGACCATGTTGGATTTTGAGCGTGAAACCAGCCTCAATTGTGACCAGAGCAGTGACTGGTTTGAGGACTGGGATCTTGAAAACTCAAAGAAGTATGCGAGTGAACAAACTCGTAACTATTTGGATCCAGGTAACCTAGTTTCCCTTCCACTTGCAAGTTTTTGTGATGTTCATCAAGATCAGAGCCAAGAGGCTATATGTCTAAATGATATTAATCTTGATCGACAAGTTTTGATGCCTTTGTTTATGCCAGTTATAGTTGTCCATCAGACACAAAGACAAGTGACAACCTATGGTGGTTGATCGACTCAGGAGCCAGTGCCTCTGTTGTGAGCAGCCGTTTCATTTCTGACTATAGGGTTATCAAAGAAAGGACTTTGGAACCTCTCAGCGACGGATTCTCGTCGGCTAGTGGTGAAACAATCCATCCCAGCAAGTTGGTTTGTATCGCAACATCGTTCCATATGATTTCGCTTGTGGATCCCAAGGTTTCATGTTGGAAGGTGTGCAGAATTTTAGCATTTGTGGCCGATGTTCCCAACAATGTTCTCAGTGTTGGCAGTTTGTTGACTAGGGGATGGAAGCCTTCAAACAATGGTTCTGAAATGGTAGTCTCTTTTGATGACTTCCGATTGGATGTTGTGACATGGATGAATGTCCCTTGGATCCTCCATTACAAAGATGGAGATCGAGAAGATTCACATCATCAAGCCAGTGGAAGCTCGACGGCTTACGATTTGCCGAAGACATCTTGGAGCAATCGACCATCCGCTGGAAAACACGTTTCGTTTGCCGAAACCGCATCTGATTCGAAAGCCAAGAAGCATCCTCTTTTGATGGCCAGCAAGAGAAAGGCAAAGGTTGATTTAGGTGATAGTGAAGCCGCTGATCCCTCAAGGTCAGAAGAAGCGGAAGTTGTTTTCATGCCGCGTCATCAGCCGATTTCATCTCAAGCAGCCGAACCCGCGGCTGTGGAACCGAACCGTTTTGTCCGTGTCTCAGAAGCTGCCGAGCAGCACACTGGTTCCAGCAGTTCGGTCGGTCCATCCCAATATGAGCCCAATCCATTTCGGAGCAGTCAGGAGTTGGTCCCATTCCCAAATCCAGAGTCCCATGAACCATCTCATGCAGTCCCATCAGGTCTGCCCAATGCCGATCCGTCAAGTTCTCAGCTGAAAGCTGTAGAAGCCGTGAGTGCCGAAGCTGAAATAGAGCATCCATCAGTCTTGAAAAAGAAGAATCGGGACAAGCTGTCCTTGGATGAACACCGCCGCCAAGGCCATTTTCCATTTCATCCAGATTGCCTCGCATGTGTGTCAGCCAAGTCGACGCACCAGCATCGTCGTCGGGGCAATAAGAACTCTAGTGAGATCTGTGCCGATTTCTTTTTCTTGAAGAATGTCCCACCAAATTCAAAAGAGCAATGGAAATTTTTGATCATGGTCGATGTTCATACGGGTATGAAAGCATGTGTTCCAGTTTTGCCCAATGTCATCAACACTCGAACATGGATCAAGAGTTGGATGAATGAATTTGGTTTCTCAGGTGGTGAGTCCCGGTATGCCCTGGAAGTGCTTACCGATGCCGAAGCGAGTGTCGCATCCTTGTTTAAGGGAGTTGATCTTGGACGTGACATTGTGTTCTTCAAAGCCTCACCACAAAGCCACCAGACAGTGGGACACGCCGAGGGAGCTATTCGTATCCTCAAGGATAGCTTTGCCGCACTCCGTCAAGATCTAAGGTCGTTTGGGGTCGATCTCAAGCTCGATAGTAGATCATGTCTGAACACCGTGTTGGCATACATTTGTATGTGCTACAACTTGCATTCGAGCTTCAAAGACACCAAGAGATCCCCAAAGACAATTTTGATCGGTCGTGACGTCGAAATGCAAACTAGTCTTTTCGGATCGTTGGTTCTTGCAGAAATCCCTCATAGCTTGGTAAACAAAGCAGTTTCCTGGTTTGAGAAATCATGTTATTTGAGGCCAGAGTTTGCTTCATTGGGACATCTCTGTGTTACTGTTCTCAACGGCGAAGAATGCATTTTCATCTCAAAGTCCATCAAGTTCCTCACACCTTTAAGTTGGGATTGTAGCTTGGCTCCTTCATTTCTTGTTGAGATTTCACTACCACCAAAGCCGTCAAAGGGAAATGGGGGAGAAGCGCAACCGATTGATCTTGAGGCCGATCCATCTCGTGATGCACAGCTTTCTCAAGCCAAGAGCAGGTCCGTTTCGACCGGTGCCGATTTTCGTTCTGAGCCATCCATAGTTCACAAGAGCACTGAGTTCGATCAGATTAAGAATGTACCTGCCAGCTTCATCAATAAGTTTGGTAAGACTAAAGGCTGTGGCATTTGCGCAAACAGCAAAGGTTCCTTTCATGGCAAGGTGCATCACAAGGTATGCATTGATCGGTACGTCAAGTGGTTGAAGGAACAGGAGTTGAAAGGCATTCGTGATTTGCCATCCGCACAAGTGCAGCCAGTCGGTAGGACTTCAGATGCCGAGCATCCTGTTCGACTTACTGGCAAGCAGCCAAGACCTGATTCACTTCCAGAGCCACCGATTCCAGTTGCAACTCGTTTTGGACCTCCGTCTCGGTCCAAAGATCATGAAATGTTGGTTGAAGGGGGTGAAGGGGGTCATAATCAGGAGACTAAGCCAAACGAAGATTCTACCAAACCCGATTTTGTAATCCGTAAGGACGAAGATCTTCTTGGTATGGAGGAATATACGCCAAGTTGGTTGGAGGGTTCGTCAAGT